TCTGTGGTTGGGGGCAGCTATCTCCAGGTACGTTGTTCCCTTACCTTATCTACTCTCTCAATCTCTTCTTACTGTGAGGAAGTGAGTCCAACTTGAGAGTCCTCTCCTTGGTGAGGTGTCGTGAGCGCGCTACTTTGAGAGACGACAATCTTCCCAGAAGCATCTGGAAGGAGAAAGGGCGGTGCCTCTGAAGGGCCCTGGTCGAAGCACTGGTCACGGTCACCATGCCAACCCACAGGCAGTAGTACACGCATGCGATGGATGCTGTTCTGTTTGGCACTTTGCTGCGCCAAAGAGAAGTTGCTACGGGTATGCCAGCCCATGACAGACGCTTACCAGACCGTCTATAAATATTTCTGGTTGGGAGTTTATTGTGAATCTGGCTGTGATCGTCGTCCAGACTGCGACGTTAAAGAATTCCTGAAAAGATGGGGGCGCTCTATAAATTCCTCCTGATCAGCCAGATCACATGGACAGGAAGGCTCATCGCCGTACGAGGGTAAATAAGAGTGGTTGGGTTGGCTTGCTCGGTGACAACTTGGGCACAGGGGTGGCCCGAGAATTACACACATAGACACTGCTGCTCAATGATGCTCTTCGGTATGTTGGATTGAGGGGAGGGTAGGTTCTAATTGATGCTCAACTGGAAACACAACCATACCCTCTGATCATACATCTGCAACATAGTCTTGTTTTAATTATTGATTAGTTGGTTGACAACTGCTAACACCTCACAGACAGATTAGAGTAGGACTGTTGTATACTACCATAGCCAGTTTTATCTTATGCTGTTGTAAGTGAACTAATCAATGTTAGGATTAGATTATGTGTACAGTCTATGTGAATATTGTTTGACAATCGCTTGACCGTGGTGAAGATACCTGCCAGACACATTTATTTTTAGAAAATTAGGTGCCGGTCAGACACATGCTGTGGTAGGACTCCACTAGGGAGTTGTAGTGCAGACAATGTTTGCCTAGCTGTTGAGTGGGTCAGACAGCAATAAGGGTAGAGTTGACGATGAGAGACTCACGGTCGGAACTAAAGAGAGTTCCGCTCTTGTTCTAGATTTTAGGTACAGAAGTCAAGCGACAGCTTAGGGCCGGAGAAAGAGCTCGTGCACGAGCAACAGTCGAGAGAGAAGCAAGGGAAGTTGCACAGGTGGCAGCAACAGCTAACGTAGCACCTAGACAGGCCGCCGCAGTTGCAATGGCTACCGCAGCAGCATCCAATGCTGCCCTGTCATTTGGGACCTCATGTAGGACACAATTGGGAATGCTCACCTGGTCCCCGGGCATCTCTAGTACTGTAGTTTCTATTGTCTCCACCAGTCAAATGGCGGGCTTGCAGTTACGCCCGTTGACCCCACGCCAGCAGGAGTAGAGGGAACTCCAGCAAGTCGAAAGAATCCTTGCACGGCTAGAGAGGGAACTTCAGGAAGCCACAGAGAGAAAGAGAGTTAGGATAGTCAGGTTGGAGAGAGTAGAGGCCGAGAAAACTGCGTTAGAGGCAACAAATGAGGCAACGTTGTTTGACCCAATGAAGGTGTTGAAGTCTAGCTTGCTCTCACTACACGCACACGTAGTCAGCAAAGTGGACTTCATGCAAGACACCTTGGATTAGACATTGACTCCGTTGCAACAGCTAAAGCTCTAGGCTGCACGCAGTCTATAAATCGCCACTCCCTAAGATGGCAGTTCTAGGCATCTATTCCCAAGCTGGCACACAACCAAGCGGTTCGTCAGCAGCACCAGCACAGACTGTCGCCTCTTCTTCTTCTAGCCAGGCGGTGACAGCTACTCAATCACCGCCACAGCAACCTGTTCCACCACAGGAACAGCAACAAGTTCCTTGTTCTCAAAGACCCTGAAGAGGGTTCCCCTTCCTGACACAAGTGAAAAGAAGGAGGACGATCTCAATCTCAGGATGAGATCGTTTCCGATGTGGGTGAGGGCAAAGAGAACCTTGCCGGAAGAGGAAGTGATACTGGCTTAAGCGTGTTCATAGCGAAAGCCGGATATGGAGGACGCATAGGAGTTAGGGGTGAGACCCTATCTTTAGAAGAGTTCATCGACAGGGTAGAAGCTCGTTGGCACTGGTCAAGGAGTTTGCGACTACCGTTGAGAATCTCATTGTTGTCCTAGGCATTCGCTAATTCTCCCTGAGAGACAGAGAATACATTTGGCATATCATTCTTCAGTACACGGAAGAAGAAAGCAGAGTCCACAGAAGTGGAAGGAGAAGGGTAGACAAATGATGAAGTCAATGACCTTTCTGACCTGATGGACACACCGAAGGATGTGGTAAGGACTATGCTGAGGGTAGCACCATGCCGCGGTATTAAAAAAAAGGTTAAGGCGGATGGCCGAGTGAAGGGACATCAAAAGAGTCAAGGGCAGGCCGCCTCCAATCAGTCCAAAGTAGATGATTGGGTTAAGGAAGGCTTAGTTCAGTGTAGCGGGACCGCCGTTCGCATGGAGCTTGCATTAACTAGGTGAAAATGAGCACACCCAGCATAAGTGCAAGAAGGTGAAGGTCACGCAGAAGATACCCCTAAGGGAGGGGTGCCTTCTTCCCAGGCTTCTAGCCCGGGAAACACAAGAGGCCGATGAAAGTTTTAGCTGCTTCTACTCATAGTGAAGTGGGAATACCCTCCTCACTTCATGAGTTGGCCAAGGCTAATGACTCTTTAGTCATCCCGCAGACTCATCTAGACCAAAATGTGCTTTGTACATTAGATGTGTCTGAGGCCTTAGAGGATTCGCAGAGTGAGTGGTCAGATAGGGACCATAGAGAATCCTGGGTGGCACAAAGTGGTGGTCCTAGAAATGTGTGGAAGTTGGTGTAGGAGGCCGCAAATGTGGAGCCTTCATTGATATTGGCTCCACGCGGAACTACATAAGCTCTGACTGTATGGAAAGGTTGCGCCACAGGACCAGGTACAACAACATAGTAGACTGGTAGCATCTACTTTGGCCAACGACGAGCGCTTTGTAGTAACTGAAAGACTATGTCTAGGACGTAGTCTGGACCTTCTCTTTTGGAGGAGGGGAACTTAATCATAGGATTTTGTTCC